CGTAACGGTGTAGTGAAAATTGGACTCAAGAAAGTCCAACCAGCGAATCTGTCGTGGGTTGAGATTCGGTTGGGCGCGAAGGTACTGTAGTGAACGGTGGTCTGTCCGTACTGTCACGTCGGCGCCAGTCAGGTAACACCGCCAAACTTTGAACGCGTGCATGATCGCCAGCATTTCGTGGTCGTGTATCGGGTAGTTGCGTTCGGGCGGGTGCAGCTTGCGGGACTCGTACGTGATTGGCTGGAGGCCGTTCCCGAAGTCCTGCAACAGTACTGCTCCCACAGCGATGTCACTTGCGTCGGTGACGAGCTCAAACGGACGGTGTGGATCTGCGATGTGAAGCACGGGCGGTGAGCACAAAATGTTTTTGAGGGCCGAGAAGGCAGCTTGCTCTTTCTCCCCCCACGTGTACTCAACCCCCTTCCTCAGCAGGTCGGTCAACGGGGCAGTCAGCTTCGCCATGTCGGGGACGAACCGGCGCACGTAGTTGACGAACCCAAGAAAACTCTGCAACGCGGTCAAGTTGGTCGGCGCATGCCAAGCCTGAATCGTCGCGATTTTCTTCGGGTCTATTTCCACTCCTGCAGCTGAAATAACATGTCCCAAAAACTCCAGGCGGTCCTGTAAAAACTCACACTTAGATGCTTTGGTCAGTAGGCGGTTCTCACTCAGGATTTTAAAAACTGCTTCGATGTCCTGTAAGTGCTGTGCTCTGTCAGGGCTGTAAATCAGTATGTTGTCCAGGTAAACGATGACGCACTTATCTAAAAGCGGGCGGAATGCTTCGTTCATGGTCATTTGGAAGGTGGCGGGGGCGTTGGTCAGTCCGAATGGCATGACAGTGTATTCGAAAGATCCGTAGCGTGTTCGGAATGCGGTTTTAGGGCAGTCGGGTGGGTTGACGCGGATTTGGTGGTAGCCTCCCCGGAGGTCAATTTTCGAGAAAACCCGGGCTGTGCGCAGTTGGTCGATCAGTTCGTCGGCTCGTGGGATGGGGTAACGGGATTTGATGGTAACCCTGTTCAGTGCTCTGTAGTCTATGCACATGCGAAAACCCCCGTCTTTTTTCGGTGTGAACAGTATTGGTGCGGCGAAGGGCGACGAGCTAGGGCGAATGAATTCCTTCTCGAGCAGGTAATCGAGCTGCTTCCTCAGTTCGTCTAGTTCGGGTTGGGTCAGTCGGAACTGTCGCTGTACTGTTGGCTGTGCCCCCGGTTCCAGTTCTATCCTGTGATCGTGCGGTCGCTGAGGTGGCAGTCCCGTCGGTAAATCATCCGGGAAAATGTCACTGTACCGTGTTAACAGTGCTGCCAGATCACTCGGTACGTCGGTCAGCAGTTTCTGTAAATCCCCTCCCTTGTCTGCTGCCTCGGCTTCCCGAATGTCAACCGCGTACACGTCAGCTCCGGCCGCTACAGCGCGTTTCATCGTGATCGCATTGACACGCACCGACGAAGACTCAGGCGAGCCCCAGCGAGGTAAGGCGATGTTGTTACCGTTCACTCGCACGGTGCAGTCACCCGTCGTCCAGTCGATTCGCGGATTGTGTCGTCGCAGCCAATCACGCCCGAGTAAAATGTCGGTTCCGTCGAGGGTCGTTGCGAGCATTTCTTGGCTAAACGTGAAGTTACCCCCGCATCGAATCCGAACTCGGTCTACGCGTTCCCGTATTGCCAGCGGCGTGCCGTCTACCAGTCGTGCGTCGATCTCAGGTAAGCATCTGTCCAGTGGCAGTCGCAGTTTTCGTGCTGTAGCAGTGTTAATGAGGCTGTGGCTGGCTCCCCCGTCTACGAAGATTTTAACTAAGTCCGTCCCAATTTTCCCACTGAGCAGTATAGGGCTGTCTACCGTGGTACCCTCCTTATTCGGCCGGGTGTGGTCGATTGCGTGAACCGGCACAATCACTCGGTGAGGGTCGGTTGGGTCGGGCGAGTGGCGTGACCTGTCAGTAGAGGGCCCGTCTGCTACTGACTTCCAGCGTTTCCTTGCTGCTTGGTCTGTTTCTGCTGCTCAGCTTCCCCCTTTCCCTTAGCGTTTTCCGGGCATTCGCTCTTGCGATGTCCCGGCCGATTGCACGCAAAGCAGCGCCCTTTGAACGGTGCCGCAGCGGCATTTGCGGCGACGGCGCGTATCGTGGCGCTCTCGTTCGTCCCACGAGGCCGATGTCCCCAGTTGTTGTTTCCGTAGGACCCCGGTCTCGGTCGGCGAAAGAAGTCGAGCTTCTCCGCCATAGCGAGAATTTCCTGAAATTCGGTGACGCCGCGAAGCTGGATTTCCTGAGCGATGTCCTGCTTTAGGCCGCCGATGTAGCGGTCGATGCGCTCGCTCTCATGCATGTAGCCCACCTGTTCGCATAGCGCCAGAAATCCGCTCGTGTAGTCCTGGACGGAACCGAGTTGGCGCCAAGTGCGGAGCTTCTGTCGCGCCGCGATCGAAGCCGCAATTGGCTCAAATCGAGCGCGCAGACCTGCGCACCACGCGTCCCACGTGCGATACTGGGGCACCTCCACGAAGTACGACGGCGCCCAGGGTCCGGTTTGTCCTTCCCGTGTCGGTAGTGTCGCGTAGTCTGTCGGCTTCGTGACAATGACGCGCCACCAGTCCATGGCGGGTCCTCGCAGCAGTGACACGGCGTATCGAATCTTCGCCGAGTCCTCCGAGACGTAGTTGGCGTCGAAGAAGACATTCATCGTGAACAACCACGCCTGAACGGTAGGACCACCCCGTTGACTCGGGTCAAAGCATGGCGGGCGCTGCGGCTTCAGCGGCCTCGGTGACGGCAGTCCCGAATCGTGGGTTGGTGCCGAAATCGTGACGCGAGGCTGACTTGGGGCCGCATGCGTCGCTCCGGGGTGTGTCGTGCCGTGGTCGTCGTCCCCGTCGGGGCGGACGACGCCATCACTGGCCGCGCTCGCGGGTTGCCCCACACTCCCGTGTTGTGATGTCGAGGGTGCAGGTTGAATCGGAGTGCCAGGTGCTTGAGATTGTGCTTGTTGTGCCCTCGTGATGTCATTTTGCAGCGATGAGCGTTCTGCCGTCAATGCCGCGATTTCCTCGGAACTTTCGCGCAGCTGTCGCAGCAGATCGTTCAAACGCTCCTGCGTGAGGGTGGTGACGTCGATATTTTCAGCCATGACGAAGGGCGTCGGCTCGTCTTAGTCTAAGCGCAATCGTGGCTGCACGCGTTTACGAGAGAACGCGAGGACAGCGGCTCCTAGGGGCTAAGGTGCGTAAGTCCCTTCGAGTGAAAAATCAAAAGTTGATTTCCTGGTGTGCGGAGATGCGCGGTCCGAAAGAAAGGGGCTCTGAATACCAAGTGTTACGGGTGCAATGAATCGAAGTAGCGAGAATTGCACTAAGGTGTCAAACGAGTACAAAATGTGAGCGAAGGCATGAGCGAACATTTATACGCGAAACATGCAAAACGGCAACGCGGTGCGTGCGAGCTTGCTAGTGCTACGCTGGAGCGAGGCTCGGGCTAGTCCCGAAGCGTAGGCCGATACGGCCATGCCAGCAGTGCGAGGTTTGGCAAAACAGTGCGCGCGAAGTCAGCGAAGTCCCGTTAGCCGTAACGGGCGAACAACGACTGTTGCTGTACGCGATGTAGTCGGCTCCGTAAGGAATGCCGAGAAAATTCCTTACAGTGACATTGATTTCCCGATATCATCAGGCTTTTTCTCGTGTATGTGGACAGTGAGTATACATGTATGATAAATATGATTAACTTTGTTGTGCTAACTTAGTGATATCAGGAATTTGAAGAAGTTCTCTCTTACCAAAGTGCATGTTCGTACAAAATCATGGAGCAGTTCTCTCTTGGAATTTGAAATTGCTCAAATTCTGAGGTACTGTTGTTTCTGCCGTTCTGGTTTGTTTTGTTGATCTTTTAAAGCGATCAGTGTTAGGAACGAGACAGATAACAGAGCGTATATTTGCACTCATTTTCTCTTCGTGAAATTATTGCAGCCATATCCAACGGCCCTCACACGCCACGGGACGCTCACAACGCCAGACCAACACGGTTACTCTCGCCTCGCCATCACTCACGGCATACCTTCGCCCCGAGTGCTGGCAGTCTTCGCAGCGCGATGGCGGACACGATTACGGGAGCAACGCGTGCAGATCGGGGGTTCGATGCCGCATTGCAAAAATTATGTCGCGGCGCGCAGCAATTATCGCCGAGCAGCCGCTCTGGGAGGCCAGTCTGAGGCTGTAGCGCTAGCCCTACTACTCGGCGGCCTCGGAAGCGCCATCGCAGCCACCAGCCTCGTGCAGTATCGTTTTTGGGCTATCTGAAGTCGGTATATACGTAGTGGGATTTTTTTTTTTTTTTTTTTTTTTTTTTTTTTTATCAAACAACGCCTTGACTTATACTCCGTCTGTTGCTGCATCACTCCGTCTCGCTGCATCGCTCCGTCGCTGCTGAATCCGAGACTCCAGTCCATCTCTCTCACGGCGGAATCGCCGCCACGCGTTTTGCCACGAGGCTAGATACACCTACCCACCGCTCGCTACCGATCTATCATCCTCTTCACCACGAGCACCAGCTCTGCGACCAGTCCAAGTCAGCATTAAGTCAGCATAAAGTCAGCATGGCTCGTATGGGACAGCTCAAGGCCGCAGCCGCGTGGATCGTCGCCGCCGTCCTCCTCGGTACGCCTGGTTGAGTCGGTAGGTACTTAACCAGCCTTGCACGCTCCCTTTCAGCCTTTCTCGTGGTAGCCCGCAGCAGGAAATCACGCCTCCTCTTCATGATGCTCGTACGGAGTTCATAGCATGCGCGCGCGATCCAGTCCCCAACGTCCCAACGCGACGAAACTCGTCGCGGATGCTCGTGTGGGATTGAATCACATATTGCGCGATTCAGTTCCCAGCGTCACGCTCCTTCCATATACTTTCCCTGCGCCAATCGTGGCTGAGCTTTGCACTTTCCTTTCTGACCTTTCGCCCGTCCCGTTCCGACCGTTTCCCTTCACCGTTCTGGCTTTACCCGCGTAGCGATGGGAGCAAGCGCGGCTGCCAGCGTCGTGGTTCCCGCAGAGCTGCGATTGGGCACGGTGGTGCTTGCCGGCTCGCTTGTTCCGACCCTTTCCCTTCCCACTCTGACTCCACCCTTCTCCGTCCGTCATCCTCGCAGCGATGGGAGCAAATGCGGCTACCAGCGACGTGGTATCAGCGGACCTGCGAGTGGGCACGGTGGTGCTCGCGGGCTCGCTCGTTCTGGCCTTTTACCTTCCCGTTTCGTCTCCACCCTCCTCCGTCTAACATCGATGTTCATGCTCGCAGCGATGGGAGCAAGCCCGGCTGCCAGCGTCGTGGTTCCCGCGGAGCTGCGAGTGGGCACGGTGGTGGTCGGCGGCTCGCTCGTTAAACCCAAACCCATCTACTTCTTTGATCGCTGCATGATCATTCCTGAGATCGCCCTGGTGGCGAGCGGCGGTGGTAAGGCGGACCTGCTGGTGTGGTGGGACGTGTTTGGGGATTACACTACGTGCGACGCGGTGCAGCTGTTCGCGTCGTTCGACTGCTCGGGGACACCCGCGGCAGAGTACCAAAACACAGCGTACATGAGGTGAGGACTTGGGAGTACATGAGGTGAGGACTTGGGGAGTACATGAGGTGAGGACTTGGGAGTACATGAGGTGAGGACTTGGGGAGTACATGAGGTGAGGACTTGGGGAGTACATGAGGTGAGGACTTGGGGAGTACATGAGGTGAGGACTTGGGGAGTACATGAGGTGAGGACTTGGGGAGTACATGAGGTGAGGACTTGGGGAGTACATGAGGTGAGGACTTGGGGAGTACATGAGGTGAGGACTTGGGGAGTACATGAGGTGAGGACTTGGGGAGTACATGAGGTGAGGACTTGGGGAGTACATGGGGTGAGGACTTGGGGAGTACATGAGGTGAGGACTTGGGGAGTACATGAGGTGAGCACTCGCGGGGGACATGAGGTGAGCACTCACGTGTTTGTTGCTGGCGAGCAACGAAGCGTCTTCACTCCTCCTGCTCGCCTTTGCACGTCTTGCTCACATGCCGCCTCCCGCCCACACCCCAATCCCCTCATGCCTCAATCGTTCCCCAGGTGCCCGTCCGCACGCCCCTCCCCCCTCCCATGCGCCCCTCCCATGCGCCCCTCCCATGCGCCCCTCCCATGCGCCCCTCCCGCCCCCCCCTTCCCGCTTGTGTCCGTGTGTGAGCAGTGTCATCAAGATGGATGCGTCAGTGAAGTCAATTTGAGTTGACTTTTGAGTTGACATTAAAGCCCCTCCCACGTGCCCCGCCCCTCCCTGCGCTCACGTGTGTGAGCAGTGCCATCAAGACGGATGCATCAGTGAAGTCCATCCGCGTTGACTTTTGAGTTGACTCTAAGTCCCTCCCATGCATCCCTCCCATGCGCCCCTTTCATCCCCCTCCCCCTGTGCTCACGTGTGTGAGCAGTCCCATCACGACGGATCCATCAGTGAAGTCCATCCGCTGCGTTCTCGGTGAGTGCCCTGCTGCTCCTTCCCTTCCATGCATCGCCCTTTCTCCTACACCCTGCGGCTGCCATCTGTATTACGCCAATCGTTTTTTTCCACCTTGCATGCCTCTCACCCCACGTGCCCCAATGTGCTGCAGACAACATCTGCAGCCGAGCCACGTGCCCTGAACACTCCACGTGCGTCAAGACAAACGACAGGCAGGAGGTGGGGTGCCAGTGCGACCAGGGCTACTATGACGTCTACGGCCAGTGCCAGCCCATGTAGCCTTCCTTCGTACTGTTATGTAAGCCTCCCCAATAGCCTCCCCAGTAGCCTCCCCAATAACGTCGCCTCCCCGCTGCTCCTGCTCCCCTCGCTCCCTGCTGTGATTCGATGAGGTTGCATGCTGATGGTTGATTCTTGCCTTGTCTGCTGCAGGGCCTCTGGAGTGCCACTGGTGTGCAGGGGTCCCCCAGAGCCCTTGAAGTGCCCCTGGAGTGCGTTGGGTACCCTTGAAGCGCCTTAGAAATTCTCTCAAAGCGCCTTTGAAGTGCCCTTGAAGCAGGGCCCTCGCTAGTGTTTGAACCTGCCTGATGCATCAGATGGGCCATTCGGGCCCGTCTGGTCATCAGAAATTTGGTCTGTTGTCTGTTACATCAGAAATTTCGAAATTGTCTGTCCGTTAAATCAGACGTGCAAAAAGCTTAAGCCTGTATGTCTTTTACCTAGTAAGCCTGGTTCTCTAATTCACTACCGATTAAGCAGATGCATCATTACAGTTTTGAACACAGCCAGGAAGTGTCCTTCATCCTAAACTACCACCCTCTGTCAAAGTCACTATCAAGCGCCAGAGTTCCACGAAAATCTACTCCATTGTCGTCATCACTATTACGGTCCACTACTTGAGCCTTTCCCTTCTTCCTACGCATCTCTTCGTGATCCACAGGCTCCTCTTCTGCCACGGCCTTGGGTGCTCCTGCATCAGCCTCTCCCACTGCCTTGCGCTTGCTGCTCTTGGGCAGACCACTCACTTCTCTTGCTTGTAGTTTCTGATCAAGGCCTATGATTCACTTTTAGGCACATTAATGCATCAGGGTCCCTCTGTTGGGCTGAAAATGAGCCCTTAGGATCTTTGCAGGGGTGAACTCAGGTAGAGTAATGTTGTAGTAGCGGAAGCTTTAATGAAGATAGTTGAACCACCTTGCGCTTGTATGTGAGGGCAAAGTACCGTAAGTTGATTATGACAAGGAGATACAGGAATATATAATACGGTAGTACAAGGAATATGAAAGGGTTCGATTATAACTACTTTTGCTGTTGCGGTCCGATACAGTACGACTCGGGCAACTGCTCTGTAACGAGTCAGTTGTGTGTCCTTAACTGTCGCGCTGCATTTGTCAGGTCAAAGGTGTCAGAGGTCCACTGGTGATCCCCGATCGATCCTAGGGAAGGGTTACAGGCACGTTCGCCTGGGGGGTTATGGGCGCACTGACCCGCTGCTGAAACAAGCCCTTTTATCCCAATGGTCTAGTGGTTGGGATTCTGAGATGGTATCAGAGCGAAGGTCTCGGGTTCGAATCCTGGTGTATGCACTTTGGGCATCCCAGTGCGGGGGGGTGTCAGAGGTCCACTGGTGATCCCCGATCGATCCTAGGGAAGGGTTACAGGCACGTTCGCCTGGGGGGTTATGGGCGCACTGACCCGCTACTGAAACAAGCCCTTTTATCCCAATGGTCTAGTGGTTGGGATTCTGAGAAAAGGTTGCTGACCTTTGACTTTCGCGTAACCTCCAGCAATTGCTTCAACCTCCGAGGGTTGACTCGCGGGTGCTTCGATATGTTCTGCTTCACTTGTGCCTTGGTGTTTCGACACGACAGAGGCGCTTAAGATTTACTGTTTCCAACACTCCCCTTCGCTTCTGGAGTGTCGCTGCTGGTGACGTGGCTTTGTCCAGTCAGCAGCATGCAGTACTCGAATTTTTGCTTTCCGAGTTTCTTGGTCAAGTAGTCGGCTGCCATCTCGCATGTGGGGCAGTATGACAGCTCGAGTCTCCCCTTCTCGATCTCGTCCTTTACGAAGAAGTAGCGCAGGGCGATGTGTTTCGTCCTGTTCGCGAAGCCGCTTTTGTTGGCGATGCGAATTGCCGACTGGTTGTCGCAGAACAGGGTGAAGTTCGGTAACTCGGCTAGCTTTGCTTCTTCCAGCAGCTCGCGAAGATAAAGTCCTTCCTTTGTTGCTGAGCAGAGTGCGATGTATTTTGCTTCAGCTGACGAGATGGCGATTAACTCCTGCTTGCTCGACTGCCAGGAGATAGGGCCGATAGGTTCGAGGCGGTAGATGTAGCCAGTGCGGGAGCGCCTGTTGTCAGAGTCGCCAGCATGGTCTGCGTCGACGTAGCCGATCAGCTTAGTCGGTGTAGTTGCGTTCTTATGGTATGTCAGGCCAATCGTTGGTGTGCTAATGAAATAGTGAAGAGCGCGGTCGAGCTCCGCCGGGTGTTCTGCTTCGGGCTTCTTGAGATAGGTGGCGAGCTGGCTTGCGGAATACGAGAGATCGGGGCGGCAGGTGACTGTTGCGAAGAGAAGACAGCCTAGTTTCCTGTGGTAGTCGCGTATGCCACCGGGCTTGAGTAGAGCGGAGCCTTCCTTGTTGCTTCCTGACGTGTAGCGGTATGGTGTAGAGATGGCGTTTGGTGTAAGTGCGAAGCGTTTGGCGATGGTATCGGCGTATTTCTCGGCGCTGAGATAGATTGCGTCGTCTTCTTCCCGGATGTTGAGGCCTAGGTACTGTGTGACGGTAGATGAAACCGTGAGTGTGAGATCTTGCTGCAGCTCCCCTTCGAACCAGGTGGTGATGCTGTCGGTTGATCCGATGTAGAGAAGATCATCCACGTAGACTATCAGCAGGATGTAGTCGTCGTTCTTCGAGAGCCAGTACATTCCTTGATCGTGCGGCAGTTGTTTGAAGCCGATGCGGATGAGACGAGCGTGCAGATACTGTTGCCATAGTCGCGGGGCCTGTTTGATGCCGTAGAGCGATTTGAGCAGCTGACAAACTTGGTTAGGCTCTCCGTGGGTACCGTGCGGTAGTTCGACGAAGATTTCTGCGTCAACAGGTGCGTAGAGAAAGGCGTTCGCGACGTCGATTTGCCGTAGCTTCTTTTTCTTCATGGCGGCGATCGCAAGAAGAATTTGGAGTGAGGTGTGACGTCTGACAGGCGCGAATGTTTCGGTGAAGTCGCGTCCGTGTTCTTGGTCGAAGCCGCGTACGACCCATCGTGCTTTGAACTTCTCGATGGTACCGTCTGCTTTTGTCTTTACGTGGAAGACCCATTTCCTGGTAAGTCTTGTCTTGTTTCGTGCGACGCCAATAGGCACGACCTTCCAGGTGTTGCGTTCCTCCAGTGCCTTCAGTTCTTTGTCCATGGCTTCGCGCCATTTTTCCCTATGCTCCCCCCCCAGAGCCTGTTGAACTGTCGCAGGCTCCTTAGGAAGCTCTGCTCCGTGGACTGCGGTGACGAGCCCAAGGATTTGGAGTCCGCTCTGTGTGTAGCGGGGAAGTGTGGTGTCCTCGGGATAAACTGCTTCGTCTCCCACTTCTGGATCAGGTACGAAGTTCGGTCCTATACGTTCAGCTTCGTCGGTGTTGACTTGTGCAGGTGTAACGTAACCGTTGTCTGCGAAGTGGTAGAAGATTTCGGCGTTGTTACTTTCGCGCGGGTTTTCGTCATCCATGGGAACATCGACTGAGCAGTACGGGAGTGGTCCGGCTTCTTCCGAGGCTCCTTCTACGTTCTGCTCGTCCCAGTCAGCTTCGTCTTCTGCCGATGCGAAGGCTCGGTTGCCACGAAAGCCACCCGTGGGGTCTTGGTTTTCGTCCAGGTTGGCAAGATAAGTCTGCAGGGTGAGTCGCTCATAGAAAATGATGTCACGTGCTGCCACTGTTTCCTTTGTGTGGACGTCGAAAATCTTCCACGCGTTGTAGTGTTTTTTGATGCCCAGGTGTAGTCCCCACTGTGCCCGTTGGGAGAATCGTCCGGCTCGTGCAGATGGAGGGCGGTACTGTACCATGCAGCCGAAGACTCGTAACATTTTTGTGTTGCCCAATTTTCCTGTCCACAGCAGATGCGGTGATGCGTTGTTCGGAAGTGAAGACGAGGAAAGCAAGTTGTGTAGCATCACGGCGTGGTCCATTGCTTCTGGCCATTGGTGGGTGGGTAGCCGCATGCCACGTAACAGTTTCTGCATGGTGTTCTGGAGGGTCGTGTTCATCCTTTCTGCTACACCCTGTTGTTGATGGGCGTAGGGAAGGGAAATGAGCCGCTTGATTCCTCTCTCCGCCAGATAGTTCTTGAACCTTGTTGAGGTATATTCTCCTCCCCCGTCTGACTGAAAGCTTTTTAGTTTGACGCCTGATTCCCTTTCTGCTACTGGGAGCCACGCAACAAACGCTTCAAACGCCATATACTTGCTTGGAAGGTTCAGGTGCCAGACGTAACGTGTCGCGGCGTCGATGAACGTGATCGTGTAGAGGTATGTGCTCTGCCCCGGCTCACGGTTGTACAGAATGTCGCTGTACACCTTTTCGAGTGGTGCGTAGGCTGGTGCGCTTGGGTTATGATGAGACGCGAACGGTTGATGAGGTAAGTCGCCTTCAGGGCAGATGAAGCATGTGCCGCGCACACGTTGAAGTTCTCGTCCGTCGGTCAGTAGGAGTGAGTCTTTATCAAGTACTCCTACTCTTATCGTATTGTTTAACACTGTGTTGCTCGGGTGTCCCATCCTTGCGTGCCAGGTGCTTTCGTCAGCGCGGTGTCCGGGTGATCGTCGTTACAGATCTGAATTGGAGTAGAAGCTGGCGGTGAAGTTGGCGCTACGGTGGACTTCTCGTGGTGTTGGCTGAAGCTGCTGTGCGGTGTTGGTGGTGTGTCTTCGACGAGGAGCGGTGCTGTCGAAGGACCAGGTGTTGAAGTTCCTACTGTTGCCGTCGTTGTCTTTGCTGCTGCCGATGCTGTCTCTGCTGCTGCCGATGTTGTCTCAGCTGCTGCCGATGTTGTCTCTGCTGCTGCCGATGTTGTCTCTGCTGCTGCCGATGTTTGAATTGTCGCTAATGCTCTTGTTCTTTCTGTCTCAGGAATGGTGTGGGAATACCAGAAGCCTCCCGGACTGAAGTCTGGGTCAAGATCCGGAGGATGCGTCCAGTTGGTGAAGTTAACGATGGCGTCGCTGTCGGCAGTGCCGAGATCGGGAACGAAGTCTAGGACAAAGACATTGTTCTTCAGGATT